GTTTCTTCACCTCAAGGCGGTTGGCCTCGAAATATGGGATAGTATGAAGGTTAATATCATTTTTTAAGGTAGCTGTATTGCTACAGCCCCCAACAACAATCCTTCCAGGCTTCATTCGTTAATCGTTTGTTAAGGTTGCAGTGCCTCCTTTCTCACTAAATGATGTGAATGATGTCGAATCAGCTTCCAAGCTGACGTCACGAGCCAAACCGCCCAATTTCCCCTATTTCTCGGTCGTGAACATGAAGGAGGCCAATTCAGGGATATATGGTAATTCACAAGAAATTCTTAAAATAGATGCGACAATGATTATCGACTTTTTTTTTTTTAATCAAGAAAACAAGATTTATGATATGGAAAAATTTGGGGGCTAGTGGTATTTTAAATTCCTGATCCAAATTTATAATGATTTATATTTCTTCGCAGGAGAGTCAAACAAGACTCTACAGCAAGCCTGTTTTGTTTTGCTGTATTCCATAACGATAGTCGTCGCTCTGATTGGAAATATCCTCCTGATATTTATCGTCAAGTGGAAACCAGAAACAAGGTCCCTCACTGGGGTATTGTTCGTCAACATGGCCTTTGCAGATATTTTAGTGACCTTAATTGTGATGCCCGATTCCATGTCATATGTCTTCACAGAGGGTAAATGGATTTCTGGAGACGTAGACCTTGTCACATGTGCTGGTGTGAGGTACCTTAACTTCATCACACTGGCGGCGTCAATCGCTAGTCTATTGTTGATGTCAGTGGATCGTTACTTAGGAGTTACTTTCCCTCTCGACCGTTTCCCAAATTTTCGCCGAGGAAAAATTCAGTCTGTGGGAATTTGGTTTAGTGCAACGATCACTTCGATCCCCGTCGCTGTAACATGGAAACATTTTAAGTATTTTCCAAACGACACATATTACATTTGCGCGTCCATATTTCAGGCACCCGGGAATGAATACAAGAGGATCCTTTTTACATTACTTGTTCCTTCTTATGTATATGATTCCACTGCTTGTGATATCCACGCTATATACCTGGTTGTCTTTAGCTGCGCCGCAGAGGTATTCCAGGACTCGTTACTCTAAAAACAAAACACCGAAACGAGGTAACCAAACGAAAGGTCGTACGCATGCTTGTAATAATCACCGCTGTATTTGCTATCTGTTGGCTTCCATCACAAGTCTATATTGTCCGTATGGCATACTTGGATCATTTCCTGATGTTCATAATGCTCAACTTCCATATTATGTGCAGTATTTGTCTTATTGGTTGGGACATGCCAACAGTGCCACAACAGTGCCATAAATCCATGGTTGTACCTGACCTTAAGCGAAACATTGCGCAAAGACCTTTGTGAGGTTGTGAAGAGAGATAGACATTCAAATTCTCGTTACTTTAGATTTACAAGATCTCAGACGTCAACCAAACATGCTAAAGGCACTAATGTGTAATATAACGTACTACTGCAAGATGTGCGCATGGATCGCAAGGAAATAAATTGTGTGCTCAATGAGAAAGAAAAACAGATTTGCAGTGAGACAAACGTCTGAAAAAAGGTCCACACGACGGTGTACACTATTGTGTTGCGGATGCACACGAAATGTTGTTAAGAAGCGTAAGCTTCGCTTAAGGTGATAGCTGTAGTGTTTACCATATATTTTAAAAGATAACATTTATACATCGTAGCAAAAGAGTTCCGTTTTTTGAACCAAAAATGTTCGTATAGTCTAACATGACTAGACAAAACTGGAGCGTAAAAACTAGTCATTGTATTTGCTGTAAGCAAATACAATGACTACTAATACTACATCACAAATCATTGTATTTGCTTACAGCAGCAGAGTAAACCCATGGGTAAATAGTAGACGGTGAATTAACCAACCAGGGGGCATGCTTTACGTTGGTTGTTGTAAAAGGTCATCTTTTATCGATACTTCGTTGCTTTCCTATTTTATTTTATAAAAGCTAAACTGAATTAGATTAAACTGGTCATCTTCTACTTGCTCGGGACCACCCACCCTGTTTTGAATTGAATGTAGTCCTAAGATAGTAGATTGAACAAGAAGCATACCTAATCTTCTTCGTTCTCTTCTTGGGATGTCTATAAGTAGAAAGATAAGAAACGAGTAAAAGGGATTCAAAATCTTGTATTTTTGAAGTCCTGGCAAAACATTCTCGTTGCTCAGTTTTATCAAGGTCTTTAGAGATGATGCGCTGAAACTGAACAACGAGAGGAGGAAAACTTCCTTTAAGTCGCATAATTCTATCCAGCATTGCTCTCAGAGGAACATGATGCGGAGTAGCAGATGTTTTTTTTTTTTAGTGCAAAAAGGGTATGTTTAATTTGCATATCGCCATGTGTTCTGTTGTTCGTCCTTACCTCAACCAACTCAGACTTGAATTGAACAGTTTTCAGGCCCTATTATAGTGCTAAATTTTACTAATCCATCCTTGATTTATCATTTATAATTTTGTGATCAGTACATTAAACAATGCTTTTTACACTCAAAAACATCTGCTGCTTAATATCGTGTGTTCCCCTACGAGCAAAACCAAATATAAATCCTGTACGTGACCAAAGATAGGAAGTTTGGTAAAACTTCTTATTGTCCAGCGCATCACTTTCACCTTGACTGAACTTAGCAGCTTTTTTTTTTTTTTTGGCTTAAGCCCGCTTTTTCCTTGATTGCTTGCAAAGGCTATTTACCAAAACACATTGAAATTTATATCACTTCCGTTCGTTTCTTGTTTTAAATCTTTCCACCCGCTAAGACATCCCGAAAAGAGGACGAATTGGATAATGTATGGTTCTTTTTCAATCTCTGAATTTCGTTCAAAATTCCACTTAAAACAGGATAAGTGTTAAGTCGGTATTCATACTTACTTTAACAGGGAGCTCCATCCAGAATGAAGTTCGGCTTTCTGTTATCAAAATAGCAACGGCATAATTAACTTGCAACCAATTTATCATGGGTACAAAGCACAGGTGCATCACGTGAACATTAGTTAAGAATACGTGGATGAATATTGTCTCCAAAGAGTGTCCTTTGGTGAAAGTCAAGAGTAAAAGAGACTGAATCACAATTAAAATCTTAAATAAAAAAATGAGAAAACAAAAATAACAATGACAGTGACCCTGAGGGGACGAAGGATCAGGTCTAGAGAAAGTTCTCGCCTGGCTGTCGAAAAATTATCTCCCAAAAATTACTGCAGCTATTATCAAGTAGGTAAGATTTGACTGGATCCATTTAAGTCAGGATTTATTGCCCCTCTAGAAACTAAAGAAATAGTTGGTCACTATTTCTATGCCATTTATGTCATCAAAATATACTCTTTTAAAGATAAAAGAGAAAGTGACTATATATTTTGCTTCATTGATCTTGAATTTAATTATGACATCTACCCGGATTTTCAAGTCATCTCTCTAACAATAGCCACCCGTGGGAGCGAAATGTACAGGTTAGACTTATTTATTCCGGTCCATAAATACGTACTTGCATGGGAAAAAGATAGTATAGAGGCATAGCCATTTTCCTATGTGTTAAATGTAAATTGAATACCCTCCTACATACCGTCGAGTAAGATAAGCGGAATATCCCCTGGATATATGGACCCACGCCCTCAGAGAAGTTTAGGCAGTGCAACTGACACCTGCATCCCCTTCCGTCATATCCTCCCAGCGTTGATTAATCAACATGTTCATCAGGTTTACTCACTTTCTTTCAGCGGAATTGGATGTCAGGATCTCTTTCTTTGTCATAACTCATTACCATAAGTAGTTATGGCATAGGGTAAGTCATTACTAATATCAACGGAGAACCGTTGAAACCAGTTTTTTATTCTACTGTTGAGTTAACATCTTGCATTTAATACACCGGCGATGGAACTGACTTTTATCTTTAAGACTTCCATCAAGAAACAAACACTTAAAAAGCAGTTCAAGAGATTATGGGCTCTTATAAAGCGTGGACATTGATATCCTGTTTCAAACTTCATCATATCCATCGCAGAAACGGAATTATAACGACGTCATCTAAAGAGGCGATCAGTTGGATGGATTCTTTGTAAATTTTTAGAGCACTTCTCTTTTAAAAAGGAGTTTTTAAAGTTGTATAGGACTGGATTGGCCCAACGGTTTGGTGAATTGTTTCAGCTAAATGAAAAAAAGCAAGCCTTAACCCTAAGCTAAAAAAGCCAAAAAACTAATCGAATTAAATCCAAAATGGGAAGTTGAAAAAGTATTCCAAGTGGCAAGGAAAATCGTGGCAGCACAATTACAGCACATCACATACAATGAGTGGCTAAAAGTGTTATTCAGTGATTCCGTGGTGAGTTATGGCTACGTGGTTAAGTTGAAAGAAAGCTAGTATACTTTTGTTATTCAACTACCCTGTTCGGTTTTACCTCAGTTTTACGGGTATGTGTCCGACCTTTTGAATCATCGGCCATAATTCTGAGCTCTCAATGACATTTTGCAGTTTGTATGTTAACTGTTTGATTAGACTTTGTAGTTATAGATCGTTTTCACTCGCGTGGTAGCCAGCTAAAAAAATTTTGTTGAAAAAAAAAAAAAAACACCAACAAAACAATAACGAAGGGCTAACGCTCGAAACGTCAGCTTTGAAACTATTTGCGGTGGCCAATTAACTCAGTTGATGATACTTTATTACCCTGTTGCCTCCTCATACACAATCGTATCTCAACAAAATGTTAATGAAACGCTCCCCCAATCGGCACATGTCATAGGTTCCTTTCAAAATACTCGTGGTATTCACGCAGTCTCTAATTCATGATTGTCGAGGGCTTCGGTAATTATTGTGGGTGTTTTCCTTTGGATTGTTTTCAGCCTAAGTCGCTTATTTTAACCAAAATATTACGGAGAAGTGACAAACAAACAAAACGTTGCATTTTTAATAAGATTTTGTTTTTTTTTTTGTTCTTGGTTTGTGGGCTTTGTGCTCTAGCTGGAAAGGGAAGGTCTGTTGTTGGAGCCACCTGGTAAATTCTTTATGGGATATAATGTATCGATTAATGCAGGAATATTAAACCACTTTGGAACAGCAGTTTTGAGAGTGGGTGACACCTTAATTCGATCAAGCTTTGGATTAATTACCAATTCAAGGGTCAGGTGCTCCAGTAAACTCATTTATCGCGGACGTACTGCAGTGGACTTTTTCAATCCAGCCCCCTTGCTACTTGGACTCAAAGTTAACCTCATTAGAGAAATCTTATATGGTCTCGTTGACGAGCTAGCCCAGCTCCCGGATAAGTATGTATCAAAGCAGTTTAAACAATAGGTTGAACTACACATGCCTTTTCATCGGTTCTTATGCATAGATGACGTCGAGTATATTCTATATTGTCGTGCTTGTGTGCTGTAGTCAGTCCCAAAATACGTCAAAATGTTGATAGAATATAAGTCACAAACTCGGCTGCGCCTCTTGTGCCAATTTTTTGTTCCTGTCATACTTTGCTATAATCTGTAATTTACTGGTGAACAGGCACTCGGAAACATAGCATCTACTCATTAAAAATACGTTTTGCGAGATTGTTTGGCTGCAAGGATGATGAAGTGTTGACAGCCTGAGTGGAGCTGGTTCGGGCCAATCAAGGTAATTTGGGATTATCAACTGAGTTGATAACGAGAATTGACCTCCGTAAGGAGTTTATATGCTGACGTTTCAAGCATTAGCCCTTCATCCATTCGCTCTGACGAAGGGCTAATGCTCGAAACGTCAGATTTTTAACTCTTTACGGTGACTAATTTAAGTCATCAACTCAGTTGATAATACCAAATATCCCTGTTATAATCTCACCGACGTAGCACTACAGTTTCTTCAGAAACTTACCTCCTTTAGCCAGATTCAAGATAGTTTAGAACGAAGTTTTGTTAAACCAAGGCCAATTTAAAAAATATATTTATATTTAACAAAGAGAACGCTTGAAAGTACTTGTTATCTAGTTTTTAACTAGGTTTCTCAAAGTCTCACCAATCCAAGATTCCTACGTTCAATAAAATAGTTAACTAATTATGATGAAATTTTCTTCCTCAGGAACTTTGTTGACGTCATAAGAGAACGTGTAATAATAGAAGGACCAACTATTGATGGTATTGTTGGCGATCTTCCGGCAATAAACATTCACCGCGGTAGGGATCACGGCTTACAAACGTTCGTAAAATTCCGCGAGATTTGTGGAGCAGGCCCAAGTAATAACTTTAGTCAACTTCGTAATACCATAAATTGCCCAGAGATCATGAAACTGAGACAAGCCTATGAAAATGCAAAAGACATCGATTTATTTGTAGGCGGCATCCTCGAGTTTCCCACTCTTGGAAGCGTGCTAGGTTTTACGTTCACCTGTCTTATGACCAAGCAGTTTGGACATCTGCGACATGGTGATCGATTCTGGTATGAAAGAAATGACCCTATTGCCGCATTCACTCTTCCTCAGCTTGAAGAGATACGAAAGACGTCATTGTCCCGAGTATATTGTGACAATACAGACAACGTGATCTTCATTCAGAAAAATGCCTTTAAACTCCGAACTGGTAACAACGGAGACAATCCTGTAATCGATTGTGACTTTATTCCCAGAGTGAACTTGGAAGTTTTTCGGAGAGGAGGAAGAGCCCATTGGTAGGCGTTTGTTAACTGTGATTAATATAGCTCAAATACACTTTAGGTATAATTGAGTGGCACTTCTTAGCACGAGTCATTAAGCAGAAGTATTTTGTATAGTATGAACTGTCATTGAGTTTTACACTGTCTCTCCCCTCCAGGGGATGTGACTTGTTAGAGACAATGAGAACTGTTATAGAAGACATAGAACCCTGGAGAAATGCTGCACATGCATCTCAGTCTTATAGTCGTTTATGCGAGAAAAACTGGATAATTTCTGACATTTATTGCTTCAACAAATTGATATTTTCATGAGGCCCATAATGTTTCTTACTAATCTCTGTTAAATTGATCGAGAGCCACTGCTCTAAGAAAATGAGTTATACTATTGGTTCCATTTTTTTTTAGTAATAGCTTCATGTTCATTTTATCGAATTTTCATTTGTTGGACTGTCTTTTCTTGAGATACGATGCGAGCTTTGCGCTGTAAAGGCATTATCTATCAACTTTTGATTATGTATCCTGCTGACATTTTTGCATGGCTTGAGAGTATCAAACAATGATTGTTGCTTTCTCATCACTTTCCATAGATGAACTACCGGGTATGCCTACTGTGCAAGGTATGTGGCACCGCATTATTCTGTTCGCAAGATTTTGTTATAAATCACAAATTCCAAAACAAAATGTAGCTGCAGACGAATTTTACTAAACGTCATCGCAAACGCTGACACTAAAATTTGCCTTTATAAACTAATAGCAGAGGTATGCTTATTATTACGAATATACTTGATCAGGAGAAAAAGAAAGGAATCTACAACGGATATCGATAACGCGAACATAAACACTCACCAATAAAGTAACGCTGCACGATATAAGCGTGGATAAGTAAGCTAGCCCTTCTGCGAAAAATCAAAGGAAAAAAACGCAAATGGACACAAGTTTTGCTTGTGAAGCTTTACTTCTTCCTTCATGACAATTTTTACCTTTTCCACTACTTCTTGCGAAGGGTTTTCATGAAAACATAGTTTGTCTTTTCAAACTTTTTTTTTTTTTTCTGGGAAGGTTACCAGTCAGCCGTCTCCCTACATACAATATAGGGCGTGCACAACTGGCAGTCAAAAAGTATGGTGATTCTCAAACCTGAATAATTATTCCTCCATGTGGGACTATTATAATGCAGTGGAAGTTCTTTCTCTATATATATTTCCATCATCATCATCATCATGGTAAACAACTTCGTCATCACTGTTATTGTTATTGTTATTAATTTCCATTTCTTGTTATCTTATTTTCTCAAGATTGTCCTCAGGACTTTGTTCCATTTAGAGGTGGTTGTATCAGATTCTTCCTTACCCCTACCATAACATTCGAGGCTGCAAGATCATTTTGTATGAGCTTTAAGACTAAAGACAATAAACTGGGAGATCTTATCGAGATTCGATCACTTGAAGAGAATGCTGAAGTTGTTTATCTTGCCCCTGATAATGGTACGTACTATAAAAACACGGTGTGACAAACTTCAATGATGATCAAGTTATCTTCTGAAAGGTCAATTCAAAACACACTCCAGTTATTGATGCAGTCAAATCTTCAAGACCCACAGAAAAATAGAAGGAAAAGGACGAGAAAATATTAGCGTTACTCATTATTTATTTCTTTATGGTTTTTTTTTAAATTTTGAAGTTTAAGGATGGTAACAGAAGTCTCTTTTCCCGTTGGTTCTCTTTGTGATTGCTCGTTGCAATTAACATCATTGCCCTTGTTTGAACATGTTTCCAAAAACAGATAATTGAAAAAGAAGGATAAATAGAAAAAAAATTGAGGTAATTATTTCCAAAATAGCTTCAATGAGGACTCAAGGAAGACAAGCTCCCGACTAACAGACTATTTATACTCATACATTCGCTCTGCGTAGAACTAAATGTTATTATGAAATAGCTTTAATGCAGTAGGTATATCTCGCGGCTCAGAGCAGGGGCCTTCCTCAAAACACTAATGAGGTGGTATGAATCAAAATCTAACACGAGATATCTTTTCATCAATTCATCTTTTCTCTTCTCTAAGGGCAAAGATATTACATCGGTGTGACGGACTTAGAAGAGGAGGGTGTTTTTCGCCTGAATGGAGACACAAATCCAGCGCCATTTCTTAACTTTCCACCTGGCTTTCCTCAAGATTTGATAACTGAAGAACAAAGAGACTGTGTTGTCTTAGCAACGCATACGGATACCACTTTTTCACTATGGTACACAGTGCCTTGCACAAACAGTTGGGCTTTTATATGTGAGTGTGAAGGTCCGTGCTTTCAGTCCACCGTGGCTGTTTAAATGAAAAACTATAGACTCTCGAATAAGTCACACCGTAGACGAGAATCAAGCTGTAATTTAATTAGACTGATATATGATCTTGAAGTTTTCAATCACGCCGTGACATTATACCAAGGATCCACAATACCACCGGCATAAGTAACATTGCGCGACTCCCTCAATCGCGCAATGTTACTTATGCCGGTGGTATTGTGGTATGATGTCACGGCGTGATTGAAAACTGATTAAAATCATGAATAAAAGCGTTTATTACACTTTTTTATAAAGTAATATCAATTAATCATTTCAAGATATGGCAAATAATAATATGGTTACTATACATATACTCAGAATTACGTTCCCATGCTCGTATCACACTTTATCATTGGTTGAGATTTAGCTAGACGCATAACAAAAGAAACAAATTGCGTGTCTGTGCGGTCTCTTTTTGGTTTGTAAAAAATTATTGTGACCACGTCCGAATTCGAGGATTATCTGGCGTGTAAACAAACAGAGAAATGTATGATCTGTGCATGTTTTTGAAAAAACCTCTTTCGACCTAACTCTTCTGGGGTTACTAAAGGAAACGAGTCTTGCTTTCAGTCTGGTGGTAACTTTAAAGGATAAGAAACGCACGGGGAAGGACTTGCTCATAATGCTCGCTTCGTTTCGCTTCGTCTTGAGCGCCCCCAGTTGTTTTTTAACAAAGAAATGATTGGAGCAATATGGTTGATCTCAATAATTTCAGGCGGACCGAAGTCGATCTCGGGAGGTTGCCTCTATGTCCTCGGAAGGTTTTCTTTCTCAGTTATTGGCGCTTGAAGACAAAAAGTAGTGCAAAAAAGGAAAAAAAATGAAATCGTGAGCTTTTTCGAGCTCTACATATTTTATATCTTGTAACGAATGCTCTCAGAAAGCAATTCTGGCCTTGGTCTCCTTTCTTTAGCAGCTTAAATGTGGGGCGTGGAAGAAACACACTTACAATTAAGAACAGTTTTAGAACTAAACAAATTTTTTTGCATTAGGATAACACTATTGGCTAGAGCACGGTGGCCCTCTTTTCAAGCTGATCATCATGATTTTGATAAGTCATTCTATAATAATGATTATAACAACAATATAATAAACAAAAAACAAAAACTATCAATAAACAAAACAAAGTGTTTTCGGCGCCAAACCTTACTATATCCACAAGGGTTACGGGGTAAAAAATTCGATAAAAAAGAGTCGCCAAACCGAAAAAAACAAACAAACAAAAAAACGCGCTGGTCAAGGTTGGGCTCACCAGGGCTCAATCAGTGTCTCCCTACGGATTTTCAATTCTAGCAAACACCGTTGAGTAACAAATGATGGAGGGATCGTTGCAACTATAGCTAAGTCAGTTAATTCTTGTCTGAGAATCTTGCGTCTGTTCTCAGGTAAGGAGGTTCGACATAGAAATATTGGCAAAGGATCACCCGATCTTCTTCTTCCCTCACGTGCTGACTCTCTTTGCGTGGGAGAACATTGAAAAAATTGTCAAACGGCAATGACAACCATCTACTATCAATCGCACTCCAACGTTTCTGACACTATCGCACGCAGAACTCTAAATTACTGAATGTTGTAAATCGCGCTTTCTATGGCAGCAGGACATTTGATGGCGGTTTTACATGAAGAAGCCCGATAAGCATTAAGTTGGATTAAGTGCATATCGTCTCACATGAATGTTTCTGCTTTGGATTTTTCTCTATTTGACTGTCTTGTCTTGAACGAATTGCCGCCTTTGATTGAAGTGTACTTTGAGGTGGACTGGGTTCTGTTTGAGCCGGATCGCATTCTTGGATCCCTTCTGCGTACAGTAGCACTGAGGGCGATACGGAATTTCTCGTTTAACATCATGTACAGCCATGGGTTTACCGCACTGTTTGCGTGACCCAACCAGAAGCAAAGGATCATTACGTAATACGGAAGTTTCCAATAGACGTCAGGACGATATGCAATAACTAAATGAAAAAAGTGAGTCGGGAACCAACAAAGAGCGAAAACAGCAGTGATTATGACGAGCATACGCACAACTCTTCGCTTCGTAATCTCGTTACGTTTCTCAATTTCGGACGAAGCTTCACCTGGCATGCTTCGGTGCCAAAGCGTGAGGCAGATCCGAGAATAAAGGGTAATTATTATGATAAGTGGAATCAGGTACATAATTAGAACGAGGTAAGTGTAGAAACCCCTCATCCCAAATTTGCCAAGCTCTTCATATTTTGGACCGCAAACCAAACCCTCAGTTTGAAGCCAATGAACAAGCCTCCAAATAATAGCAGCTGGAATGGAGAAAATAATTGCACTCAACCAAATAAACACATTTAGGACTCTAGCCTTTCGAAACGTCTCAAAACGGTGAAGAGGACGGGCAACTGCAAAGTAACGATCCACTGACATAATCAACAGACTTAAAATGGATGCGCCGAGTGTGACATAAAACGTGAAAAACGTAAGCGAACACGTGACATTTCCAAACATTCCCGTTGCCCATACCCCACCACCGTGCAGGATATGCAGGGTGACAGGCATAGCAATCAGAGCCACCAGAAGGTCAGCGACGGCCATGTTGACAAACAGGAAACCAGTCAGCGATCTTGTTTCTGGTCTTCTTTTGATGATGAAGATCAGAAGAAGATTTCCGACCACTGCCACAAATATGGTCATCGAATACAGTACTGTGAAGATCGTCCTATGTAGAGAGCTGAGGCCAGGTGACTGCCCTGTGTAAAGCAAACAGAGGGGTATGTTCTGTATTGTTTTGTTTTGGTTTTTCTTGTTATTGCATGTTTGCAATATCTGCCTTTTTTTCCCTTTTTTATGTTTCGTTATCATCAAAAGAACTGTACGGCCACGCTAGCGAAAATCAGAACGAAAGCTGACGTCGATGAGGCCCGACGAGTTGACGAGAGCCGGTCTGGAAAAGTCGTCAGGCGTTTCCTTGCGCTACAGGTCCGTATGTCCAGACCTCGAATCAAATATTTTCCCGTCCGGCCCTCCCACCCGTCGAGTGAACAAGAAGTAACTGAAATTATTAGCATGTACTTTTTTTTCGTCCATGCCCCGTGTGTAAACAATCACATCATTAACAACAATTTTCTTTTTGTCTGGAAGGTTTAGCCCCTCAACCAGCCGCAACGAAAAAAAAAATCACTTGTTTTCTCCCGGCTCATATGGTAATCAATGTTTTGTATCTAATGATTTCTCTAGATTCATACATAAAAGCACGAAAATTCGAACCTAATAGGATTTTAAAGGAGTCAAGACAGCAACCTCACGAAAAATAAGATCAGCATGGGATTTTTGGGAGTACTTTCTAATCAATCAGCGCTTCTGAAAACAAGAGTGAAAGCTGACGTCGATGGGGCCCGACTAGTTGACGAGAGCCGGTCTGGAAAAGCCTGTATCTTATGATCTTGAGTCAGATATTTTCCCGTTCGGCCCTCCCACTCCGTCGAATGAAAAAGTAATTTACATGTATTTTTTTTTTGCGTCCGTGCCCTGTGTTAAAAAATCATATCATTAACCTTTAGTTACACTCGAACAACATTTTTTTTATTGTCTGGACGGCTTAGTCTCTCAACCAGCCGCAACAGGAAGAAATCATTTATTTTCTCCTGATTCATATGGTAATCAGTGTTTTGTATCTGGTGATTTTTTTTTTAGATTCCGACATAAAAGCACCAAAATTCGAACCAAATAGGATTTTAAAGGAGTCTAGACAACAACCTCACGAAAAATAAGATAGCCTGGCATTATTGGAAGTACTTTCTAATCAGTCCATTAGAAATGATTCTTTTAGCCTGTTATGCCTTCATTAATCGGTTGTAATCATATCTATTTCGGTTTTCTTTCAGTTGCCCTGTAAGAGGTGCCTATACAGTAAGAGAGGCCATTGACGCACTCGAGCATGGCATTAGTGGTCATTCAGTAATGGTAATGACGAAAGCTCTTTTGGTAATCAGTGAATTATTGACTCGCTATGAAATGGCATTTATTGAATTTAAAACTCGTGAAAAAATGCTAAGGCTACGGAAGCACGACTGCATGTTGAAGCCCCCTAACCTCAGAAGAAAAAGGTCACACGCATACAAGATAAAAAGTGCCGGGAGAAAGTCAATAAAATGAACTCGTCAAAATTTGACGGATTCAAATTAAGAGTTTTTGATAAACTGATTATCGCATGACGCCATTTGATGGACAAGCACATGATGGCGTTGAGTGCGATTTAATTTGGCTTAGATCCCATGATGCTACAAAGTTATTTTCTCCGACAGGTTTTTAAGGTGCAAGTTAATTTGCTATCTAACTAACTTCGCGATAAACAGATTAAACAGGCGACAAAACAGATGCTACACGTTCTCTGAATTTTAATGCCTCGACTGTAAAGAAAAACAGTGCTGAAATGTCTTAACAAGGACGTGCCTTTCCTTTCAACATACACCGAGACTACCGCAGCTAAATGATAGCATCCTGTTATTGCATACCGTGGCGACGTCAGTATGCAACGAGCTTCCTTCGTACGTCTTCCCAGTTTTACGTTGATAAATAGCACCATAATCAGTTCAATGTAAACGGTTCGTTTCGCTTTCTTCCCATTCGAAGCATTTCATGGAATGACAATCGTAAAATTACACGTTGTTCAGTTGAACATAAATCTCTAGTGACCCTCTCCTTTCAAGCACATACCATACAATAAATTGTTTATTTGGTGAAAAATATGTTTCATAATCTCGTCAAACGAGTTGAAGACAGACAAAATGCAACTCAAACGACCATTGGCCACAACGGCAAGACGTCAAAATGAAAGCGATCTTCGCCGTTATGAACACTACTTAAGCAGTAGCGAAAAGAAGGCCTGAAAAAAATTCAGGCCTGTACGGGATGAACCCATGACCTCTGCGATACCGATGCAGTGCTCTACCAACTGAGCTAACAAGCCAACTGGGAGCTGGTCCCGTATTTACACACATTATTGCGTGTTTTCAGCTGTTAACTCCGGTGAATACGTTGTTGTTCACTCGGAAAATGCCAATGAACGAAAGGAAAACACGCTGTTTGCCATGTGTTAACCGAGCGGTTAATGCCGGAAAATGAATTGTTTATCTGCATTTACCGCGAAGGAAAACTACCGAATAATGGAACGAATACTGGGATTCACCGATGCGAAAACGCGCAGAAAACGTCGGATTTTCCGTAGGCAAAACACGGGTAAAAGATAGTAAATTGCCACGTTTTCCGTAAATTCAACCTTCGTTTTCCGTACGGTGAACGCTTGTTTTTTTGCCGTGTGTGTTGGTTCCAAATAAACCCGTGAAGTGGTGAATAAACGGTTGTAAATATATGAAATTCGTATCCCGTACAGGCCTGAATGTTTTTTCAAGCCTTCTTTTCGTTACTGCTTAAGTAGTGTTCATAAATGCGAAGATCGCTTTCATATTCACGTCTTTATCCGCAGTTCAAATATATGAATTTCTTATATTCACAGCCGTTTAAAACGACAAGAGTTGCCATATCAGCCTTGTAAACACAGCAAAAATGAGTAGACGATAGTTGAATAAGGAAAAAAATGTTTACGTGACAGCCTACATTATTCTATGCTTTCTTTCAAAGCCCTTTATCAATCACGCAAATGTTTGAGATTCGACTTACCGTCAGAGGAGTTCTCTGTATCTGTAGAGTTTATTGTAGTGTTCATCGTAATTTTCAAGAGTGTACTTCTTGATGTCAGCAACAAGTTAATATGCTTCCTTTCTCCCACACCTAGAACTGACAAAAAGTCGAATCTGCTGTTTAACACTTTACGCATTTGGAACACGATAGCACATATTGCTTAAATTGCTTACGTATTTGTAAAGTTAATCTAATTAGCGAGCCTTTTAATCAAATTAATATATCCAGAAGTTAGGATGATAAGGATATATTACGACAGAGCGGAAATATAGGTTTTCACAAGAAAGATATTCACTTGTGTATGATACCTGAAATATTAGCCACATACTGTGTATATGGAAGCCTACAACTCAGTTCGTAAATGATGCTGTAAGCTGATAGAACATGCCAAAATTTCTAGGTATGCCTTGCGACGAGGGAATTGTCCGTAAAGAAGGCTCAATTATAAAATGTTAGGTATATTATGAGTAATAACACGGTTGCTTTCATATAGAGTGCAGAGCAAAACTCACCTTACGTCGACTGTTGAGTAGTTGTCGTCTCTTTGGACGAAATGGTGAAATATTGGCACCCTATGGGGTCTTCCACGGTTTGTTTACCCAAATTACAACGTACCGTGTTGAGAAAAAGTCGAAAGAACGGACTTATTGCATTCTTCATCAAAGAAAACAGCCGTCTTTTTCCAAACCACCAATGGTTTAAAACAGTTTTGACACGATATTTACTTTTAATAAACATCCAAGTCAAACTTTATTTTGCTATGTTAATAATCAGCTGTAACTCATTAATACGAGAATTCTGTTTGGGCATCAATAACAATGAGTGACACCGTAATTTGCAATATTGGACCATACTGAGAAACACGGCATCTGAAAACACTCCTACTTCTTTGATGGAATGTGATGTTTAGCTGTTGTATCGTTTGTAATATAAGAAATATAATATAAGAAATATAATATAAGAAATTGTATATATAATATAATATAAGAAAATTCGAGAACGTAGGAAGAAAATTCGAGAACATAGAAAGAAAGTTTCAAATTTTCTGCCCACCACTTGACTTTCAATAACAAAAGACGCTTCCTGCTGATTACCAGAATTATCATTCAACTATCGCGCTGTTACTATTTTTTGTTTCTAGTCTTCCTTACTCTGTTAAATTTCTTTATTAGCTTTTAGTGGATTAACAAGTCTTCAGCTTCCAATGAGTTTTAGTTATAAAAGCTACTAGAATATATTTCAAAAATAATCAGTGATTCTTTTTGGTTGAGTGCACATTTCACCTTAAATGTGGCCCATTAATCACCTTACTGAAATTATTCTTTAAGCTGATCAATTTTAAATATGAAAAAGGAACCAAAAGCCTTCGGTGTGATAATGAGTTTAAGCCTTTCTTTCCTGAAATTAACCATAACTATAAATATTTGCAGTAAATAAGCATAACATGCATCTCTTTTTTTTTTTTCTTTTTCACTTTGAAGATGAAAACTTTCCAGAATGTAATGGATGGAAACTCCATTTAAAATACTTAATCTTACTCTGTTAGATATTGAGAGTTTTGCGAAGAAATGAAGAGAACTTTGCTCATACAGTTGCTGGTTATGTTAAATGGAGAAGTAAATAAGTAAGTGAAATAGGTCGGAAAGGAAGCGAGTTTGAGTGGGTAAATTGCAAGTTGTACGTATCGAAGAAAGTGTGGTAGATACGTGACAGCAAATTTCCGAGTCTTATTAATTTATCAAGGCATCACATATTCTTGTTCCTAAAAGTATTTCAAGAACTTTTGGATACGGCCACAAGAATGAGCAAAAGATGATGAAATAAAATAAATTAGCCAATGAGCTTTAAATGTTCCGATGGCTCCCGTTTCTTATTAGATCGTAAACAATCGAAGCGATGCATAGTTTGAGAATTTTGACAAGCCTCGAGTTTTTCTTTAAAATTTCCAGGGTGCCCTTGATACAATGGGTTGTAAACGGTATAGAATGATTAAATTTACGTCATCAAGGTTAAAATTGATTGAAAGAACTCAAGTAATTACAATCCTGAAGATTTTTCTAATTTTCATCTCGTATTGCTCCGAAAGCTCCCTAAAACAATAAACAATGAACATCCAAAACGGCCGTTTGGAATCGATTTTAATTTAAAAATGCGAATTAAAGTTAATCAGCCCCAACGAAAAAAAAACAAAAAAACCGACAAAATAAGAAACAAATAAATAAGTAAAAGAAGTAAATGGTCTTATAATGTATGTTTCAACTCAACTTGCTCTCCTAGTGTACGAATTGAAACATCACTGCCGATCATAGGAATGACGTCAACAATCTCAAAAACCACATTCAGGTGGTTCATTGAGATCCTTTCAACCCAAGTTATGGTGGGCGTTAAGGTAATAGTTTCCATAATAGCTGTTGTTTTCTTTAGTAAAAGGCTTATTAAAAAAAAAAGAGAGAGAGAGAGAGAGAGAGAGAGAGAGAGAGAGAGAGAGAGAAAGACAAAAGAAAAGAAAAGAAAAACTTATACAGAGTAACAAGAATGACTGTGTCACGCTAGTTTAAAGCTAACGTGACACATGCTGAACACAAAGGGGAAAACCAAATAAATTACGACTCTAGATTGCATCGAACTCTTATGATTGACAGCAGGACAAATCCCAATGTTATCATCCATAATTTGATCGAGCACAAGATATCAATTCATAATGGCCTCTTAGAATCGGATGAACACTATATACTTTTGAACTGTTCAACCGCATTTGGTCTTAAATCGAAGACAAGTCTGTTTAAAAACAAGAACTGAAATTATAAGTTCGAATCGCAGTTTAAACCGCACCCATCCAGGGATAAAGATGTTTATTAATCTAGGTTCTCTTTGTGTGTGGTGCATAATTTGGCTCTAAAACACTAAGACTGTTTTTCATATCTAACCAGTTCACCGCTGCATGACTTAAAAAAAGGGGAAAAAAAACAGCTTTGGCCGTTGAAACTCAACTCACCTAAAAATTCCGAAGATAAACTCGCCCTGCCGCCGAAACTTAAAGAGACCAACGAATAACCTCGTGGAATGACTGCTGTCCTCAGAATCTATAAATTTTTCTTGTCCTAATGTGTGTGGTAGTGTCTCCGTAAATAAAGAATAAGCGGATTTAAACGATTTCAGAGACGGAAGCTTTTAAAAGGAGTTCTACGCCGGATTAGCGACCCAACGATTAATGGTCTAAAAGTGATGGCTGATTCATATGTGAAATGGAAAATAAAATTTGATATATTTACATCAGTCTTATTGAGTAAATAAAAGTAATAACTAAAAAATGCTAATTTTGAATTTTTTTCAATTCATCATACAGGATGCTGCAAGCGTATTAACAAGCTCACTACCATATACACTGAAAGGAATCATGCCCTAAAGTTTCTTCTTTCACCCCATACGCAAGTGATTCTCTGGAGTTAAAGATAAACATTTGTAGGTTGTTTGCTTATGACCTGTTTTCTGAAACTGAATCCTTAATTCGCACGCTGCTATCTTAAAAAAATTTTTAAAAAAATGACGTTGAAATTTTATTTTTTCATGGAAATTATAATGTGTATTATGATCGGTCAACCAGCTAAAAAAGTTGTCAAGGGCATTTTTCATTTTGTATTTACTTTTTTTATTATTTTTTGACGGATGGTCGCGGGAAAATTCATCAAGTCAATTCTCTGTCAATTTTTCGAAAAAAAAAAAAGATATTTAGCCGTTTGCAAATATTACAACCCCCCAGAAAGACAGCCTGTTTCCCGTATTTACTACTTCGACCGCAAAATACCACCTGGTGACTTCGCCATGACGAAATTAAACCCGAACTTAAATATTGATGATCCAAATTCCCAAGTCCCTGTTCCAGCTTCCTAGTGTATAGACCCCATATCACCAGGATCTCCGCATCTTTTGGCATGAGCTTATCAATAACATCTATAATTACACCATTTCCACCTCGCTTGAGTTGCCTCAGTGGCTATGCAAATAAGTATAAATTTCAGTTCGCAAGTCCGTCACAAGAGGTCTTAGACGACGGATATAAACCACCAAAGGAAACAATGAAAAACGCATCTTTCGATAAGTAGAAGCTTAAAAACTATACGCCTAAGAAACATAATCCCATGACGTGACATTTCCTTTGGATCGCAATATGCATAAAACAACACCGTAACGGTTTTCCTTTATTCGACAATTACGCAGTTGAAATATCTCACTGTGTAAAAGTGAAACTTAAGCAAACGAATATAAAGTTCGACTGTTCGCAAGCAAAGCAAAATGTAGCATTTTTAAACGATTCGTTCGACTGCCTGCATTGATAAGCTGTCTTACAATAAAATAAAGCTAAGCTGCACAATACCCTGCCACTCATTTACATGTCATTGAATAAAAAAACCTATATTGTGTTATGCCTCCATCTTCAAAGCCTCATGACACATGTAAATGAGGTGGACCAAAGTGGCAGGGTATTCTACAGTTGCTCCAAAATTAAACAGCTGTTCTAGTTCAATTTACACTCTGGTCACGTTGCGTTTTACCTTCGACAATTTGCCGCCATAGTTCTTAATTTAACAAACGTTAACATGGAAATTATGTAAAATATTCTCCATTCAACCCCGAAGTTCTTATCACTTTTATTTTTGTACTTGTCGTTGAATTTTTTTGGTGTCAGTGGGAGTGGGTAGAGGGGATGTTGATGACTAAACTAAGACTGAAGCATCTATCTTATCTCAGACAGACCAAAATGTTTAAAAATTACGCATACGCTCTAATCCAATTTAACGTACAGCGGCAGAAGAAGAAACACCCCCCTCCCTTCCAAGATCTTCACACCAGCATAAACATATTCATAGAAGTTGGCGGAGGCGTCAAAACTTATACGTTGAATCGTGCATAAATTTTAACTAATGGCTCAAAGCTGCGGGTACTGTAATTTATAAAGAAGGCCGTAACCAAGTAAGAAAACAGACCATTGATAATATTTTTGATGGACCCTGGGGATTTGAACATCTTGGACTGAAATTCTCGGGCGCAGGTAAAAGATTACCAA